AACTTCTACTACTTATGTTGGTCAAGGGTTCATTCTAAAGAAACTTCTACTACTTATGTTGGTCAAGGGTTCATTCTAAAGAAACTTCTGCTACTTGTTTGATTTTCATCCTYCATGGTTCCTTCTGATCAATGCCTTAGTTTATTYYTTGAAAGGTTTAATCTGTCCAACGAATTTATACAGTCAAAACTAAAATATAAAAGGTGAACAAATGAGACTGAAGTACTCATTTCTGACATGAAAGTTGAAACTTACATTTCTCTAGGTCCATTCATTATGAGATATGGTTCAGATTTGATACTCTCAAGGACCAAACTAAGGCATTGATGATTTGATTCTTAATATTATCATTAACTATTAGAGGTGGAAGAAGGAAGAGTTATGACTCGATCACAGTTTTTTATAAATATTTCATGTCTTTTCTGGCAGTACGATGCATTCGATATCGGTTTCATAACAACAGATGACTTTACTAATGCGGATATTTTGGAAGCAACTTATCCTGCTGTAGCAAAGAGACTACATGGTGATTGGATTAAGGATCCTGCAATTCCTATTGTCACTGGCTTCCTTGGAAAGGTCTTTCACTTTTACGTACTCTAGAATGTTTTTTTTCCTATCTTCCCACTTGAGTTTCCGTAAGGAGATTCTGGGAAATAATTATTTCCCTAAACTGTTCATAGGGTTGGAGAACTTGTGCTGTGACTACATTGGGCAGAGGTGGTAGTGATTTAACTGCCACAACCATTGGTAAAGCACTTGGTTTGCGAGAAATTCAGGTTGGTAAAGAAGTAGAAAATCGAATGACAGTGCAAATGAAAATTTTCATATGTGAGGTTGCATGATTGGATCTTTAATTATGTCATCAAGAATAGGTCCCTAATTTTCTCATACTCTTCTTTTATGTTGTAATTTTCCTCTAGAAGCTCAATAGAAAAACATCACAAGCTTTGATAGCATGTTTCATTAGTTTTTCAAATTATCCAGCAGAAGTTTAAGATTCTAGTTATCCGTTGATGACAGGTATGGAAAGATGTGGATGGTGTCTTGACATGTGACCCTAATATATATTCAGGTGCAGAACCTGTGCCATATTTGACTTTCGATGAGGCAGCTGAACTTGCATATTTTGGTGCCCAGGTATCCTCTTCTGTTTCTGTGAGATTGTACATGACAAAATCAGCAAAACCAAACATATTATGGTGTAATCTTGGTTTCTTTTTCCATAGGTCCTACATCCACAGTCTATGAGGCCCGCAAGAGAAGGTGATATACCTGTTAGGGTTAAAAATTCGTACAATCCTAATGCTCCAGGTACCCTAATCACTAAATCAAGAGATATGAGTAAGGTCAGTAGCACTATGCTCTTGGAATATGTAAAAGCTAGCTATTAATCAGCACTTTGAAAGCGTAATGTCTACCCTTCGTATTTCAGGCAGTATTAACCAGCATTGTTTTGAAACGTAATGTAACCATGTTAGACATTGTTAGTACTCGCATGCTGGGTCAATTTGGATTTCTCGCTAAGGTAATATGACTTTACAATTGATATTTGATGCTGCTGTTTTTAGTCATTCCTTGAGCTGGCTCAGAGTTAAAATTTTGATTGCTTCATGGTTTCAGGTGTTCTCGATTTTCGAGGATCTGGGTATATCTGTAGATGTTGTAGCTACTAGTGAAGTTAGCATTTCCTTGACGTTAGATCCTTCAAAGCTTTGGAACAGGGAGTTGATTCAGCAGGCAAGCGTATGACATCATTCTCAATTGGATGAAATGATTATACATACATATAGTAAATCAGCATTGAAAATGGCTCCATATCAAGTTGTCGGAGTTTACTTGCCAACTTTTTTTAAACTCGTATATCATGAGCTAGTATTCAGTAGTTTATACTTGGTCCCTTTGAGTGGTATAACTGGCAATATTTTGCTAGTGTTCACCTTGACTTTTTGCTATTTGGTTTTAACGACCAATTGCAAGTGGTGATCACTAGGATTGCATTTAGAGGTATATATGATTTTAAGAAGCATGGCATGCTTTACATAAAAAATGGTGGGATCAATTGTGTACTAAGCCTTGAATGGAATACATCGCAACTCACAAGTTTCCAACTAGTGATATTAAATGGTGTCGGTGCAGGAACTCGATCATGTTGTGGAAGAGCTTGAAAAAATTGCTAAAGTGAATCTTCTTCAGCACAGATCGATTATTTCACTCATTGGGAATGTTCAGAGATCCTCACTTGTATTGGAGAAGGTATATACTTTTGCCTGCTGTCCTACAATGCATATGATTCACTCTGGTTGGCTATTCTAGTGGCCAACCACCTGCATGGCCTGAGGAGTCTGGAACTCAGAAAGCATTCTTTCCACGATGGTGATTTCTTGTATTGACCATTTCCTTATGTTGGTGTAGGCATTCCGTGTTCTTCGCATGAATTCAGTGAATGTTCAGATGATATCCCAAGGAGCATCGAAGGTGAATATATCTCTGATAGTAAATGACAGTGAAGCGGAAAGATGTGTGAAAGCCCTGCATTCGGCTTTCTTTGAGGAGGATGATATCTCTGATATGGACCGAGGCCATTAGTTTGGATAACTTCAAAATTTTCCCCTTGACCAGTTTTTTAGTATATTTACCAATGGTAGTAGGGTTGGAGGAATCATGGAAAGGCATTTCTGGCTATAAATAATTATGTTGTTGTCAGTATCACTATTCTAATCCTTGATTGAAAACAATTTGTATCATTGTTTTGATCCCAAGATGTTTGTTGAATGAAGGTAGTATCAGTCATTTATGTTTCTTGAGCCAATTGGAAATTCTTTCTTTTACAATTGTTGGTCTTTAATATGCTCCAAAGCAGGTCTTGGATTATTACACTTGTTCTTATTCTTCAGCCAACAAAACATGCATACTCCAAAATCATATAACTTAGACAGATGCAGAGACCTGTAGTTCAAAAGGGAAGATTACAAGCATATCTATATACACACGAAGGCTGCATTTACACCTCCATTTCATGTACAATTTTACATAACACGACATTACCACCACCAGAAAGTAGCCCCAAGCTTTAGAAATATATTTCAATCTAGGTGAACAACATTGTATGGAGACCATTAATGTTTTGTGTTTGGGGTATGTAGGCTAAAAATGGAACCAAAGAGAAATTATAAACTAGAGTACCATACTGGAATGAAATGTAAACGAAAAGCCGAAAAGCCAACAACTTTACTAGTTAAGATAAAATTAAGCAAACTATTTTGCAAGTCAAAGCACATATTCCACACAGCATATATAATCCAATATGGAGATGAATTTAATTTAATCCTCTCATGTTTCCGGTTACTTGATGAATACAACCTTTCTCCTTTGCATGAACAAGGAGTTTAACAAAATTGTCTACATGTTTCTCGTCTCTCTTTTACTTCCAACCGTTTGAAGCKCACAGCTTGGATTCCTTTTCAGTCGGTGATGCGTATGCATAAGTGTTTTAACAACAAATAACTATCATTATCAATAGATAAGCATTTCATTGGGTAACAAAAGGTTCACTATATCATCATCTGTAAACAGAAATCCTATTCTAAACTTCACTCGGGGACCAATCTTTCTTTGGGGGCACCATTTCATCTGCTCCAYAACTCTCAAGGACTGATGACATCATGGAGTGGGAGGGTGGTAATTCTGGATGGGGAAATAGAAGCTTCAGTCGAAATGCGTCGACGCCATTCAAGTAGTATCTAAATAGCCGTTTTGCTCTTATAAACCCAAGGCGGCCATATAACGCAAGTGCTCCCTTATTTGTAACTTCTGCTTCTAATGTTACCTTCAAATGAAATAAGATGTTATCAGATAACTTCCCTGTTTCTAATATCTGACAACTATCATAGCAAATCAGAACAAGTTCGAGTAAGCTAAACAAGAGTGACGTGCATGTTAGCTTGAAGAGTTGTAACTTACAACTATGATTGGTTGGAGCAAATGATGTAATTTCATTAGTGCTACCGGTTGATCATTTCAGTCATAAACTTAATCTGGGATCAAAATGATTTCTTGCCTTCCGTATGAAATTCATAATGATTAGAAAGAATACACGACTTGCTTGTAGGAAGTTGATAGTTTATGTCGTTTAGAATAGATGCTAAGATGTTAATGGTTAGGGGAAGTAAAAACAATTTCCCTTATGTCCTTATAGCACAAATCCTTCTAGGTAGACTAATAATCCCGATTACTGATTTTATAGGGAACTTATACAGGCATAGACATACACATCTATAGAATGGCAGAAACATTGCGAAGTGATCCATAAGAAAGAAGTGTCAATCTCTCGGAACAGGCAACCGTACTGACAATTAAACATGGAATTGGTGGCATTAAAGCAACTGCAAAAGAGCAACAGCTGCCTGAATATAAAACTTGATAGAAAATAGTGAAGAGATAGCATCACGCAGCATAACATGATGCGTTTGCATCTAATCATATCATCCTACACATCGGGCATGCTGCAAATCATAAAGGACTGACAAAAAGAACATATTGAAATTAACATAATACCTCTTCACAGCCTGATTCCATCATCACTGTAATGGATCTGGTAACAAGTTCTGTAGCTGCAATTCAACTCTAAATGTTAATAAAACAATGTCCATGTGTGCATTTAACACAATTAATTGCAAAGGCCAGTTAGTCTGTCCAGAGTAGCCACGTTTCTATCGAAGTGCTCATCATGCAACTATGCCAATAATCAGTGAAAGAATACTTAAAACCTCTAAACTCGCATATACATTCTAGTCAAATTATATAAGTCATTACAGAGGGTGTGCCTCAGATCAAAACATAATGCTAGTGTTTGCTGAATCACATGATTTATTGTGAACACAAAATGAAGTGGAAATTATGGATTTGGAGATTGAAAGTTTGTAGCTTTGAAGTTGAAAGAAGGTGTAAAAAGGGATAAAATACCAATGCCCTTGTGACGGTAAGGTTTGAGGACGACGAGCATAGCAATGTAGCCTCTGAAAGTGTTACGGTGCTCTCCCATCTTAGAAACAACGGTTCCGATGCATTTTCCTTTGTGAAAAGCCTGCACACAAGACGATATAAGGGCGTGGAGATGATTACAAGTGAGTAAAAAGAAAGAATGATGGAAGGTAGATGGTACGAGGAAGGAGAGATTGGGCCAGAGATAGACAAAGTAACGATAGGTAAAGATGGAGTAGGGTTCGCTGAGTTCTTCATCAACGAGGCGCATGATAAGGGGCAAGTGATGCTCTCCCCCATAGCTCACGTACTCTATCTCATCGATCATATTCATGGAGGACCCATCCGTCTCCATGGTTTAGCGTTAGCGTGAAAGAAGCCAAGTCATAAAAATCAAAACAACAAAAGCTAGGGTTTTGGGGCGATGATGATGGATGAATGTGACTCGAGTCGAGGTTGATTGCTGTTTTATATTAAAAATAAAATTCATTCGGTCTCTTATTACAAATAACAACCGACTTTGCATTCCAAACAAATTGAAATGTTTGATTCATAAGTTTAGTTGATTGTCTGCCTGAATTTTAATTTGGAATTCTATTTTCATCGGTTATATTGACTCTAATGATCGTCATTACTACCGTCACGTCCCCGTGGCTGCCACTGTTACCAAACTAACATCATCACAATCTCTGCCGCTGTGACACCGCCACCGTTTCTGCCAATTTGACATTGTTATTAAGGGGTGTTTGGGATTGCTTATTTAAAACAACTTATGCTTTTTTGTAAAAGTGCTTATTAACTTATGTGATATCAAACTGGAGTTTTGTAAAAAGTGTTTGGATTAGCTTATAATGGTACCAAAAAGCAATAAGTTGATAAGTTGGTTTTTAGTGTTTGGCAAATTTGGCTTATAGATGTAAAATTACCAAAAAGGTCCTCCAATCAACCTCCACTGTTCATCGTCTCCATCCTCACTCCAAACCCTATTTTCTCCAGATTCCTCTCCATCAGATTCCTCTCCATCCTCATCATTCCAACCCTATTTTCTCCAGATTCCTCTCCATCCTCATCACTCCAACCCTATTTTCTCCAGATTCCTCTCCATCCTCATCACTCCAACCCTATTTTCTCGAGAACCTCTGCATCGGCGAGTTTGCACCCACTGTGGAAGAGGTTGTCATCGCGATCTCCTGTGAGTGGTTTCTCCCCGAGAACCTCTGCATCGGCGAGTTTCTTGGCACCGATTTCCGTCTCCAAGACGACATCCGTCTCCAAGATGACATTCGATTCGATTTCTCTGGTTTGATTCTCTGGTTCGATTTCACAAAACACCCCCGAATCATCAGTCGGTCGCTTGAGGAAGGTAAGGGTTAAAATGGTAAATTGTTAATAAGTTGATTTTGATAAGTCAGGGGGGATTGACTTATCAAAAACGACTTATTACCGGTTTGGTACCGGTATAAGCACTTTTTTTTTTTTTACCCAAACACTCCAAAATGACTTATCTCCGGTACCCAACTGAAATAAGTTAATAAGTCGGTTTGAAAAAGCTTACCCAAACACCCCCTTATTAATTATCAAAGCAATAAGTATAAAAATATCATGACCACAGTTTCTGCCTACCAATTTCAACATATTCGATTTTGTGATACCTTTTCAATCAGAACCTCCCTTTGCTGTTGGTTTCTTTTTAATGATCACATGGTGGTTTCTGGAATTAGCTTCTTTTTAATTCAAACCAATCTATTAACACAGAACATAATTAACACTCCTTTGTTTTTTTTTCCTTTTCATTGGTATGGATTGAATTTGGAAAGAACAACACAGTAAACAAACCCATCTATCAATGTCTCCATCCTTTAGTTTACTACAACAAAACAAACATACATCCCATCCCATCCCATCCCATCCCATCCCTGCTGAATTCTTTCTTGCTTTTGGAACTCCAATATCCAAACTTTTTATTAATACCGCCGACCACCTGAGGTTGATAACAACACTCTACTAGCTTTCTTTCCTTTCTTCCCCATCTCGCTTGCCTTGACTTCAACAGGTTTTGCTCTCGATATAACATTCGCAAAGGATGCTGCTGCACTACCACCAGCCAAGGCTGCATAATATAGATAGCATTTTATTAAAACATCTTATGTCAATCAACACTTTTGAAGCTAAACTTACCAGTTGAAGAACCAGTTGACACGTGAGTTTCCTCTCTTCTTAGAGCAGGAGAATCGTGTGATGCAGCAAAACCAAGCCTAGCGACATTCGAGAACAATGGCCTATCCACCACTGTTGGAGGGCTTGCTGATGATGTTACAGAAGAGCTTCCCAGAGCTACAAGTCATAGGATAACTATGTCAGAAATGTAGAACCGTATAAACACCAAGGAATAAACATATTTGCAGTTCTATATATGTTGATGAAACAGTTCAATAAACTCGAAGCAGAGCCTACTCAAATAACTACAAAAGATTAATCCTAGAATTCAACACGATCCTAGCAGAATAAGAACCAACTAATCAAAACTTGAATTGCATGATAGATCAGCCATCCTCTAATCATGCACCATAATGTATATTAATCATCCATGATCCATGAGTAATGAAAGTAACAATCAGTAACATAAAATAAACAGACGAACCATATGACACCAACAAGTAATATATGGCATACATAGGTAGCATCAACGAAGAAAGTGCAGTGAAAAAAAAAAGGATGAGGCTCTTTGATGTGTGGAGAAAAGACTAGATTAACATGAGAAGAACTGGGACTGTCTTCAGTGACCAACTTAATATATAACCAAAAATAAAGGCTCTGGACCATGTCAATGAGTCCACAACTCCTTCCAGGAACTAAAAGAAGAAAAAGAAGGGAACATGTATTTTACCTTCAAAGTCATCCAAGGAGAATGCAGGATAATAATCATAGGAAGACTCTGTATCAAATCGTACAGGCATATGATGTGTAGCTGCTGCAGCTTCTGCCTTGATTTTCTCCTCTTGCTCCTGGAAGTAAAAAACATGACGAATGTTATCCAAGTGGTCTCTTCCAAGAAGAGAGCTATCAACCCCCCCCCCTCCTTTTATGGAAAAACTTGAAAGAAATGGTAATTGAACCTACGACTTTGAAGTATTGTTCTTTCAAGGAAACAAATTTACACAAGAAGTTGCTCATTCCCCATATTCATGCACAATAGATGAAAGGAACAAAGTTAGCTATTATAATAGTACAGCATATGGACACCTTTCTGGCAACACGCTTCCTCTGTTTTTCCCTATTCTTTAATTCATCTTTAAATGGAGAAAGTGAGCTGGGAGGCAATATTCCATTGAGATCGATTTCACAAAGCTGAAAATAAGACAAAATCATCACAAATGAATGACAGTTTAACAAGAAGCTAGTTTTCTGATTTCTGTTTGGCAGCATACCTGAAATGTTGTTGTTAAAGAAAAATGGCTCAAGTAGCGATATCGCCTCCTCGCGGCTTCTGATTGCGTTACAGTCTCCAACTGCAAAATCTTACCACTGATCCTGCAATTTGTGAATTCAAGTTTCAAAAAGAAAAAATAATGTAAAGCAGCAGAAGCATATCTATATACGCAGAAACAATACATATAATTTCTCAATTACACGGGCAGCAGGCACCCATAATCCAGAATCCACCATCATAATTCATGAAGGGACAAAACAAGCTACAGCAAGAACACCTCTAATTTTATTTCATGATGATTTTTCTAGTTTTAAAGATGCATCTAAGAGCAATTATGTACATCCTGCGACCAGATAAGAGAGTAATAACATAGCCACATCACTAATCAGAAACTTGGAATAGATCTCTACTTAGAGTTCCATCCAGGTGTATAAACAAAAATTCTGCCCCAAATTAGTTGGGGGTAAGCAACACAATGAATCCCAAAAGAAATCAGAGACTAGTGCATAGTAGCCTAATGAACACGAACACAGGAATCATAACATTCATCTACAAAATATATCACAATAAAAAGCAAGCAATTTGCAACTTAAGAAAAGCACGCATTCTACATTGGTGTATCCAAACATTACCTATAAATATCCTGTAAATATCTTATGTCAGATTACACATAGCAATTTTGAGGGAACAGAGTATTTTTTTAGACAGAAACTACATACCTTTGAGGAAGCTTATCATAGTTTTGATGATGGTGCAAAAGGCACTTCATATTTAATGGATGAAGAATGAGGTACTGACCATCAGCTGCCTGAAATAAGCAAAAACAAGAGAGAAAGAAATTAGTGTTGCTAGAATTCAGGTTATCAGGTAGTCATAAGGCAACAAAATATAGTCATTAAATGATGATCAATATTCACTCTTGCCCATCTTAAAGTGCAGTAGTGTGAAGAGTGGATTTGTATTACATAGCTTTACAAGTAGGGGTAGGCTGGCATTATCCTGGTTGAAGCAGTCAACAACATAATTATCCTGAATACTACCAAACCAAGTAAGAGGCAGTCAAAGAGGTGAACAAGTTTTAGTTTGGTACATGTTACCTTCCAATTACTTTATCTCCCTCTCCAACCCATGCCCCCCCTTTCTTTCTGTCCCCTATCCCTCTACTCACCGGATACATTAACATTTCCCATGTTGTCTCATTTTCGATCTTTTTTATTCAACCATTTTTGGAATGACTAGTGTCTTACATATTTACTTGAAAGAGAGCATAATAGGCCACCATAAAACAGCACATACACAAGATGGGTGTGACAAAATGCAAAGGGTGAGGAGGATGTGTTTACATAGAGGAATAGGATCATAGGATTAAGAAAGATGATGTAAGAAAGAAGGCTGGGTAGCATTGATTGAAGAAAAACCAAGGCCACACTGCTAAAATTGTCTTGTCCTCTCTAATGTAGACCTTGCCCCATATCCTTCTAGCGGGTCTCATCTCCAAAATGGCCCCAACTAGTTCAAACTAAGGCTTTCTAGTAGTTCACTGATATCTGCTATCACTAGCATCTTGATCATATCTCTCAGCATGAGTACGAGAGATGAGTACATTAGTACATTACAACCTCAAATTCAACAATGAGCTAGGCTGCTAACCAGTGCTTTGGAAAAATACAGAAAAGTGAAGGTATAAAACCTATTTGTGTTTAGCCAGCCCTCTGACAATAGACCTGTCGTCTCTTCCAAATCTTTTCGAGGGTAGATCTATAATCCGTCCAGCCAAAACAAATGCAAATTTCCTTTAGGGATGTTCTTAAAACAATTGCAACATTGCCTATTGTGGCAAACTTCCAAGATGAAGTGACATTTTTACCCATTCTAATCATTACAACAAATTGATGGTATCGACTTTTGTCCACAAGATTCTTATCGAATCCATTGAACCATGTTGCCTAGTCAATTGTTGCATTCTCCTTCGCACGAAGAAGCAATGAACAACCTGGGTTTGGTTCCAACCAAAATGAATCCAGATCCCCATACCAGACACCCAGGGGGACCTTCAGGCAGCACACACATAATTAAATGGCATGCAAGTGGTTTTCTCACTAAGAAAATGCTCGACGTTAAAGAAGTGCCTGAAAATGCCAAGAAGTTTGCCCCACTCAACAATGAATTCCTAAATTTAGGTGAAAGAATCATTCCACTACAAAATGTAACGAGAAAACTAGAAAACAGAGACATTTCAACAAAATTGCACCCAAAAAAAAATTACCTGATAGAAATCATATGATTCTTTGATCTTCTTATCTGTAAGACCATCAGAGGGCAATTGCATATCCTGTCTATCATCATAGGAAGATGACAAAGTTTCATCTCGGCCATCATATGGTTCATCCACATCAGCAGTTTGATTCACTATAGGTTCATTAACATTAACCAATTTTGAGCCACCCACAAGAAATGATTTATCATCAACCCCAGCAGGAAGTTCTTCAGACATAACTGAACCATCAACTCCAATACCAAAATTCAAACTTGGCGGAGAACTTGCATGAGAAGAATCATTTTTACAGGAGTTGACTCCATCAAAATCCCTATGTCCCTTCCAATATTTCTTCCTTTCTTCTAGTTGTGCCATTGCAGCACAGACAAATGGAAGTTTTTCAAGGTCATCAACAAGCCCTGATTCTGCTCTAGCAAGCCAACTATCGAGCTCTGACATTGCTTTCCTAACTGACAGTTCAACATCTGCTGTAAAAGTGAACTTTGAAAAGGAGTCATAAACTTCCTCCTGTGCATTGACCCTTTCTTTCTGTTTCACAGCTGGAGTTAATGAATGCTTGTCACGGGTTAGAAGCATAAATTCTATGATATCACCAACACAGTGCTGCTTGACATTCTCAATGTAGATGGTATACAAGTCTTTTGATGATATCATCATGAAACATAAGGGACACTTTTTCCAACATTCACGATTATGATCATCTTCTCCAATCAAAAAGTATCTCAATATACATGGGAAACAGAAGATATGGCCACATGATGTCATCTGTGGACACAAAAGTTCCTCCAGACATATTGGACAATTTGTGGGATGAGGAGTGAAATACCTCAGACATATGATATCCTCCCATTGCAACATCTTATCTGGATCCATTGACTCAGGAGCATGGTTTCCAGAATCCAACAAGACAAACTTATAGTTTGCTTGGAGAAACAAATCTTTGTTGTACGGCTTTCTCTTGGGCAACTTTCTTGGAGCATTAACCCTTGCTTGTGGACGAGCAATAGGATCATATTGAAAATTCAACAAATAATTACCATTAACTAGCTGTGCTTTTCTTCCTGATGATGTCGGAGTGCCCCCTTGATTAGTAGAACGAGATTTCTGACTGACAGAAGAGCCTCTCTCTTGAGAAAACCCAATACTAGATTGGCCAGAAAGATTGCGTTGAAAAGGTGCACCAGATTTTTGGTGGGTGGGAATCTTCTTGCCATTTTGTTTTGGGTCTTCTTTCACCTACAGTGATGAAAGAACTATAAGTTAATAACTGATGAATGCAATGTGTTTCTTGGCTTGGGAAAATGGGATCTAAGGGAGCATTCGTTATGAAGATTATTATGTCAAATTTTCTTTAACTTTTGATGCAAGGAAGTAGTCGTTATATATGACTAGTTTATGTACACTATAATTACATTATCTAGTAAACTTAGCGGTTAATTTTAATGAACAGGAACAAGGCGTCTTTATAAGCATACAAGTATCTCGAAAGAAAGTTTACCTTTTCGGAAGATCCAGCAGATGCGTCCGGTGTTGGAGCAACTGATGCTGCGAAAAAAGTCAAAAAAAAATAATAACATGAAACTGTTAGTGTAACAAAATTAGCAATAACAATAAGAGAAGAAAAAACCGAAAGACATTCTAATATAGGATATAATTCAAGCAGAGAAATAAACTATAAACACAAAAACAAGGGTATTAGCGTAAGGGTAGGAACAAAAATTGCGTAAAGCTATAAAAAGGAAAATTCCACCGGAGTAGAAAGAAGGGATAAGAAAAGTGGAATAACCTGTAACAGGATCGGAAATACCAAGAGATTGGAGGGTGTGGGAAGGAGGGTCGAGGTCGGATCCATGATTAAAATTAGGGTTTTGAAGGTGAAGTTGCGATGGAGAAGACGATGAACCGAGATTTGGAGAGGGCAAGATGGACATGAACTTTAGCGAAGGGGAGGTTGGAATTTGTCAAGTCAATCGCATAACAGAGGAGATGTTTGTGGCCCAATTTATTATTATATCACCACCTTCTCGGTTCGGGTCGGGTCGGGTCCGAATATCTCCTTCCTCAACAAATAAATGCTACCCCAATTCTTTTGTATAAATTAAATCAAATATTTTTAGGCCATCACCGCCTTCATCGTCACAAACCCTAAACCCTTTCTAATCAAACATCCATGGAGGACAGCTTTAAAGTTCGAGTTGATAGGGCTTTCGGATCTCTGGAATCGACATCATCGTCTCTGAGCTCTCTCTGGTGCCTCACCGACCAAGAGATTGAAAGAAACGAATGGATTAAAGATAAAGTCACCCCTTACAAACACAAAGATGAAGTGAAAAATCCCAAACCTTATTCTTCTTTTCTCCAACCCTCCACTTCCCACCAAGACCTGGAATCTGACATTCAAGAGCTTGATGACGACCAGCAGCCTCTGTCGTCCCACAGCAATGAGGAGTGGAACATTCGATCTTCTCTAGGCATGGACTGCACTCTCGACAACGAGGTATCGTTTATAAATTTATTCCATTCATCATCACAAGAAAAGTTGGCCATCATGTTTAGGGTGATTTTTTTGTTTGCTTAGTTATTGGATGTGATGCAGGAAGAGGAAGATGGTTTTGACAAGGTGGCTTTAGGCAAAGAAGAACGTTTTTACATGAGAGACGTTAATGATTATGAAGTTGAAATAGATTCTAACAACGAGCTTCCAAACGCATTTACTGATGTGATGAGGGATCCCCGTGCAAATCGCATGGCAGCAAAACTCCGGCTTAAAGAAGATGATGAATCAGCTAAAAAGAGCATCCAGAGGGAGGATGAAATTACTAGGCAGGACGTAGTGATGGATCAAGTATTGCCTAGTGTTCCAGATTATGAACGCAATCCTTGGAAATACACACATTATACCTTTGATTCGATGGATGATGTGGATGAAGAATCTAATAAGAAAGCTTATATGGAGTTGTTCAATTCGCTCAAGGGGTGGAGTGGCACTGGCAGGGATGATGTTTCTCCAACATCAATTATTTTTACTCCAAGAAAGAAGTCAAGCGATGATGGTTCAATGAACAAAAATAAGGTTGATATGCAGCAGCAGCAGAAGAAGAAGAAGGAAGTGGTTCGGGTTACTAGTATTGATGAGGATGAGGTTTGTGTGATGGAGGAAGATGAGCCAAGCAATAAAAGTAAAGGTGGGCGCAGATATCGAACCAAGGGGGCAGTGGTTGGTGATGATACATGTGTATCTTGAACAAGTGTTGTTTCATGATATTAGCTGCAACTCTTGTCATGTTAAAAATCATTCATCTTGATCCAGGTGCAGTTGCTTGTATTCATCGAATTGTTGTTGTGTTTTTTATAGATGATAACAGTTGCCAATCTTTTTCCTCCCCAAAAGCGAAGACACCTTGTAAACTCTGGTATGCAGGATTGGAGCTTTTTTCTGTCACTGATGAAAGAGAGTAATTTTTGAATGAGATGTTATTTTGCAATCTTGGATTTTCCTCAAAATTTTCCTTTGTTCCCAGATGGATCTCCTTTTGTTGGAGTCAATCGCATTAAACACTTCCCAAACATTATACACAACTCCCAGGCTCTTTTTGTCCATTACTACTTGCAACCACAAAGCAAAGGCATTT